TATATATTAACCACTGTCATCCTACTGAACACTGGGATGATTGCTCCTATCCGGAGTTTTCATGGCTGTCTGTAGTTGTTTGAAGACCACCCTAGCAAGCTGACACAGTGAAGGGAATCCACATATCACATTCTGGAGACTGGAATGCTAAGATCAAGGTGTCAGCAAAGCTCATTTCTGCTAAGGGTGGTGAGGAAACAATCTGTCCCATGCCTCATGCTCTGTTCCTGCTGTTTGCTGGCAATCTTTGGTGTTCCTTGGCTTGTAAATGCATCTCCCTGATCCCCACCTTCATTTGCGCAGTATGCATGTCTGCATGTCTATCTCCGTGTCCAACTCTTTTTTTATGAGAATATAGTCATATTGGATTAAGGTCCATGCTAATGACTTTCTCTTGATCATCTGTGAAAACATTATTTTGCAATAAATTCACACAAGTATGGAAGGTTATGATGTCAAGTCTTTTGGGGACATATAATTGAGACCAGGACATTCTAGGACCCTCGATTGTTATGAGAGTTTCCCGGAAGCTATGGAGTTGGCAGCCTACGTTCACCTTCTCTGTAGACAGACAGAGAACAGAGTGGGAGGCCTGATGGGGCCCAGTCCAGTGACCCCTTTCCCAGCTCTGTGTCACCAAACACTTACTTTAGCTCTCTGAGCTTCTGATTTTTCCTCTGTAAGGAGGAGATGATGGATTTACTGAGAGAAGTCCGTAAGCTAAACCAAAGAAGTGCTTGGTAGGCAGTGGTGTGTGGGTTATGATGATTTTATTATTTATTCCCTCTGAGTCAAGGAGAGTATGGATTATGGACTCGTAACCCTCACTCATCTGGGGGAAATTCTTCAAAACTGGCGCTCCAGTGCGCTGGAGAGTATGACAGATCTGGTCTGGGATGGGACAGGGGCACTGATATTTTTAGAGGGCCCCTGGTTCATTTTACATGTGGTCAGGAAGGAGAACTACCAGAACAGATGACAAGACTGAAACATGAACGAGGAGTCTGATGTGGCTGAATTCCAGAAAGGACGATTTGTAGCTATGGTGTCAGACAGTCCACACCTGATGGCAAAAGCTCAGGGTGGCTCTTAGAAGACTAATGAATCAGGTGACTTAGTTTTCATAGCTGTTTCTTGTTTTGTGATGTTGTTTCTGGGAAGGAGCATCCCATTGGGACACTGCCCTGGGCCACCGTTTCACCCACAGTTGAAGCCCACTAATGCAGAACTGGGTGTTATGCTTCCTTGGGACTGCACCAGGTTTGTGAAGGGCATTCCTAAGATAGTTCAAGTTGGACTAACGTGCTGCCTGCAACTGAGCAGTACTGGCACAGGCTCAAAGAATCCTCCAAGGAGGACATTTGAGACAGTACTAGTAGATTTGAACTGGGTTTGCTCTGCCCAGTCGGTGAGAACTTCCTGCTTTGAGTAAGACCCCCATGGTGATCTGGAGAATTTTATTTCTTGGAATAATTCTATAACACTCACATCAAACACTTTCTGTGTATATATGTGGGTTCCAGAGACAGTTGGTCAAGTGGTGAGTGGCAGGAGTGGACAAGCTAGTTTTTGCCAGTTTTGGTCAATTCAGGGGTCAGTTTTTGGATCTTAAGCCCCTTGGCTGAATGAGGAGGGCAGCTGTAAGCATCTCCTTCCTTTCCCCAGCTGTTCCACCAGCAGACCCTGCTTCTCCAGGCCTTGACTCTCTTCCAGTGTGTCCCTAGAGCACCCAGGATCAGATGTTTGCTCACTCATCCTCTTTGAGGGTTCAGGGTCTCTGGAAGCCTCAAGGGAGACGGCCAACAGCTTTTTGTTAAGTGAGTGATAGATGAAATAATATGCAGATAGAAGCAATTTTTGATGAGAATGCTATGTAAATTCTCTTTTTATTATCACAAAGAAATCAGATGTCCATTTGTTCTTTGGCCCAATTAATGAAAGCACAGTAACTAAAAGAAATGATAATACCCTTTGTCTTGAGATATTTGGAATAGTATATTTGGTCTGGTGTTTTCCACATTTCTTTGATTTTGATCAGGAACATGCCAGAAGGTACAGTAGCCAGAGACAAACTTCTCTAACAAGGAAGTAGGTTATGTTTCCACTTGGCAAGAAGAACTTGAGCAACTTTGATCTTTAACTGTTCTTTTAGAAACTCAAGGGAACAGGAAACAAAGCTCAGCATGGGGAAATAACCTCTGCCAAATCCAGACTTTGCATCCGGACTCAGGTCATCCTTTCCCAATCCAATGCCTACTGCTGCTGGTGTCTGGAAGGCCGAGTGAGCTGACTGATGTGGCCCAAAGTGTAGAAGTGCTATATGCACATGTGCAGAGTCAGACCTCTTCCCACTGACGTGAATGGGTTCCTGTTGCAATTTCAGGAAGAACTGACACAGTTAAGCCCGAGTTTCCTGGCAAGCGCAAGGGTAGGTTTTTCCAAAAGGCATTTTAGACCACAAACGCACAGGCTTTCCGTGTCTAATCATGAACTCAAACCACTGGACACATGCTCTCTGTTTCCAGTTGCTTGTGTATGTTTTCTTCACACTTTAACAAAAACGTGCCAAGGTGTGATATTTATGAACTCCACCAACTGGGCGCTGTGCACACAAACTGTCTTTCCTGTGGCGAGGGAATGTGATGAATGGGGGCTGTTCTGTCTGGGAGGAGGGCTGCTGTCACTCTGGCACAACTACAGCCTTATTTATTACACACCAAAGTATAAAACCACCCAGCCGGCTGCAGCTCTCATCTCCAGATCTGGCATTTGCCCGAGGAGATCACAGCGCCTACAGCCCCCGTCAGCTTCCCAAGGAGACTTTCTGGCTCTGTTGAGAATCATGCCGTGGAGGCAGCTCGTCTGTTGGCACCTGCTGGCTTTGCTTTTCCTCCCATTTTGCCTGTGTCAAGATGAATATATGGAGGTGAGCGGAAGAGCTAATAAAGTGGTGGCGCGGATAGTGCAAAGCCACCAGCAGACTGGCCGTAGCGGCTCCAGGAGGGAGAAAGTGAGAGAGCGGAGCCATCCTAAAACTGGGACTGTGGATAATAACACTTCTACAGACCTAAAACCCCTGAGACCAGATGAGCTTCCACACCCCGAGGTAGATGACCTAGCCCAGATCGACCAGTTCTGGGGCCAGGTATTCTGAATTCTCTTCTAAGGATTTCTTTGAAAACTTAATGATTGTTGTTGTTTCGACCAAGATTCTTAGGATCAGTGCTTGTGAGCAGTTTGCGAAGCTGCTTGTGGGTGTCTCCGGGTTGATCTGGGGTACAAGAGGGACAGTCTCTGGTATTATGCACACCAGGGTAGAGTAGCCATAGCAATGCCCCGCTAGGGTGGGAAACCTGCGCAGTCAGCTCCCTGCTATAGTGGGGACTGATTTCTTTCTTTCTCTGATGTGGAGAAAAGAAGGCCCACCCATGTGGACAGATGCATTGCCATAGGTCATTATTTCCTGATCCTAAGAGAAATGGACTATTTTAATCCTCCCTAGCAGGGGGAAACTGCCCTTGGAGCCTGCCAAAAACAGGATAGTTCAATTTTAGTTTGTGAGTTTTCTGTAACATTTCCCCCTAGTTTTGTTTGTTTTGTAGAATTTTAGGTTGCTAAGACTTCTTGTTTAGACTTTTAAAAAAATCAGGCATTAAAGGCAAGAAAAAAATGATTACATATTTAAACCACACACTTCATTGTATAATTCAGTGTCTCCTGATGTCAGGGTTTATTTGCAGGGGCATCTACTCAACTAAGGAAATATCTTTAACTCTTTTAGGGCAGTATGGGAATGAATTAAGGTTTTAGTGTCCTGAGTTACAAATTAGTGAACCTCAATTTAATTACAAACACCAAATGTAGGAAGAAATCCATTTGTTTTTACTTCTAAGTGTGAAATATGCCAGAATTAGATGGAGTGGGGAAAAGTGTTACTTTGGATTTGACAATCTTTGAAACAGTAGGTTTTACTTTAAGACTCTATGGCTTCTATGCATTCCATCCCTGTAATTTCTTTTCCACATAGTTGAAATCTGAACTCTTCCTGCCACAGATTAGGAAGTCTTGGTTGATTATCTAGGTATGTAGTTAGACCAGGATCCCACACAGGATCAGCAGCAGATCTGGAATGAACCTAAGACGTGTAACTGGACCTCACAGTGCAGTTTCCCAAGTTGCTCTATGGGCTTTGTCAAGGGAAAATGATAGCACGTAAACAGAATGCCACTTTTAAAGACTGTCTCCTCGGCTGACAATCTTCTGGCCGGAATGTGTTTGCTTCAGTGGTGAAGGCGTTTGAATTTATGTCTAAATCTTAATCTGGCTTTCTGTCTTGGTGGATGGAGTCTTTCCTGGGTGTCTACATAGCTGTTATAAGTTTCATCAATTACTTCCCAGCAATCAGAACTTACCAGGCCACTGAAATCCAAATGACATTTTTTATCTATTCTACTTTCCAGTCCTGAATTTCTGAAGTATCTACAGGCAAACCCCAAGAGGGGCTACTCAGGAGATTTAGAGCCAGCAATATTCCCGATGCTCTCAGTACAACTCTCCTACCAGTGCATCCTGAGGCACAACTGAATTTAGGATCATGCTGGGTTTTCCTTTGTTCCTTACTCCCCCCCATTCTCTTCTTCATGCTAATTATCCTTTTGCCTCATTAATTCTTCTGCAAGCATTTCCTGGATTCTACTTTTTATCAATCCTTAGAATAGGGACCAAGAATATCAATAGGCCCAAGCCTCTATCTCCAAGCCATCCTGAAGGGCTCTATTGGGGATAACATTTTGTTGATGTTTATTTGTTCATTCATTTAGTAATTCATGTTTTCAATATCAATAGTTTTTAAATTTTTATTAGGTTCATTAAATTAGCATACAATGTAATAGGTTTCATTATGACATTTTCGTACATATGTATCATTGTACTTTAGTCATATCCAACCAATTTTTGTTGACTTTTTAACTAAGTGATTAGATTCTATGTGCTAAACAAAGTCAATACACAAGGACAGTTGGGAAAAAAGGAATAGTGTTAGTCACTGGGTTGAGTCTTAAAAGTAAAACAAGAGATGGTTACTCACAGCAGAGATTTAAAGAAACAGAGGACAAAAATCTGTGCCATAATGAAGGGATCTGATGGAGCCCATGAGGGGTGAGGTGTGGCTGGGCTCGGAGCTGTGGGAGGAGACCACAGATAATCTGAATGCCAGGCAGGGGACGATTCTTTTAGCTAGTGAAGGAGTTTCATCTTTATTTTGCTCCCAAAAGTTTAATTTGTCTTTTATAGCAGGGCAGTGAGGCAATAAAATCTGTGTTCAGAAAGAGAGCTGGCTTTAGAGTTCACGGTGGATTGGAGTAGGCAGCGATCTCTATATCTGGATTTATTTTTACTGGCATTTTCTCCACCACAGCCTCTCTGTTTTTGCATTAACAGCCTCAGTTCTCTCTTGGATACATTTTCTTCCTCTTTCTTCCTCTGCCCCCTTTGGGTTTGAATAGGGAATTGTGGGTTCTTTTTCACCAAAGTCATAATGAATAGAATTCAGTTATGCCTGGAGGCCTCCACCTGCAAAATGGGTGGAGCCTGTCTTACAGATAACCCTACCCCGCCCCATTGATCTACCTGTTTTTGAAAAGGGGATGATATGCTTAAGAGGTTTGTGGGTAGTGATTTTCTGTACAAAAATTTTCCCTTACCGAGGAGAAAACTTCTCAATCAACACATCTGGTCCAACTTATTCTAAGAATCCATCAAAAGCCAAACCAAGAAACTGGGGAGCTGGCTCAGTCAGTGCAATGCCTGCCACACAAGCCTGGGGACCTGAGTTCAGGTCCCTGGCACCTGTATAAAAAGCCAGGTGTGGCAGTGCTTCTGTGTAACCCCAGCGCTGGGGGCGAGGTGGGGTGGGGAGTGATGTGACAGGCAGATCCCTGAAGCTCCTGGGTCAGCCAACCTGGCCAGACCCATGAACTTCAGGTTCAGTGAGAGACTGTCTCAGAAAATAAAGGTGGAGGAAAGATACCCGATGTTGACTTCTGGTCTCCACACATATGTGTGCACATGTGCACACATTAACATGTCCATACCCCCTCATACACATACAAATTTAAGAGCCTCACTTGCACTGTTCCATTGAACTAGACCTTGAAAGATGAAGCTGGAGGAAGGAACTTGTGATGAAATGTTATGGGATGGCTCTCAGGAGGCGCCCAGCTAAGAGTAACCAGCAGTCTCTTGCTGCATTGGTGGTAGCTCTGTGTCCCTGAAGTTACCCCAGATAGCTTGCACATTAGCTTGGGTACTGAACAGCCTCAACACCTGGTGCTTAGATACTAGACATTTACACAAGTCTTTTGCAGTTGGTGAGATGGCTCAGTGGGTAAAGATGTTGGCCACCAAGCCTCATGACCTGAATTTGATCTTTAAGAACCATGTGGTTGTCTTTCGACCTCCACAGGCACACCATGGCATATACCCTATACATACATATAAAGAAGGAATAGAAATTGTTTGAAAATTAGAAAAAAAAATGTAAAGATCTTTTAAATTTATTATTTGAAGTTTGAAAAAGAGTATCTTTGTTTACCTCTTACAGCTGGAAAGAAAAATCATGGCCATCTCAGACAAGAAAAATGATGTCTGGGAATGGTGACTTCTCTAAAGTCATGTAGAACTGAGCGGGGACTACTGGGTCCAATCCAGTAATTATTCTGACATTCTCAGTATTTCCATTCTGTTCTTATACAAGGTCTTTACCTCCCCCACCCCCTTCTCTGTCATGAGATCCATCATTGGCAAAATCTTGGATCTCCTGAGTTTAGAAACTGTATTTCTTATTAGCAAAATCATACCAGGAAATGAAGAACACATACTTCCCAGATGTGTAGAAGGCAGGCTCATGCTGTTTGTCCTTGCTTTCCAAGTGTCCTAAGATCTTCATCGCTAAGTACATCAGTAGATTTTCTTTCTTTAACCAACACACACTCTTCATCTATCTGGGGTTGGGCTTAATAGATTTAAGACTAAGAGCTATCCCCAAATTATAGCTCCTGATCCCTCAACAGTGGGTTCTGAGCTGTGGCAACAGACTGCTTAGACTACAGAGACTATTCTCTGAATAGTTAAATGGAAAATTTGAAGGAAAAGGAAGAGTAAAGACCAAGCCTGTTTTTTTTTTTTTATTTACAAAAATAAATAAAAGTAAGGTTTAATGACATAGTAATGTGATGCCTTCATCCAGTTTTCTGCCTGGCTTTCTAGTGATAGAGAAAACTTGACTTTTAAATTCTTCCCTCTTCCTTCTTTCTTTCCCTCCTGCCCTTTGTTCCCTTCTCTATATTCCTCCCTAACCTTCCGTTTTAAGAATGAATCCCTTAGCAACAGTGTGCTGTTTTCAAAAGACTGCTGAATTATAACTGGTGTCTAGGAAAGTTTCCACAAGTATTTTGCATGACATAATTAAAAGGCAAGTATCCAGCTCGGATGAAAATCCAAATTTTACATGCTTCTAACTCTCCTTTCTGTCAATTCCACTAGGCCATTAGCTTCTTCAATAGTAAGCACACAGTTTAGAAATCTATCTTTGTATAAATAAGCATTTCACTGAGTGTCACATTGAGCATATTTGGTATCTATTTAGTGCTAAGTAAATGTTGGTTCAAACAGCAAGATAATCACTTTGAAATTTAAAGTAGAATGTATGAAATATCACATCATCTTAAATGCTTACAAGGAATTTAAAGTTGTTTCAATGTGTAGATAATAAATAGATATTAGATCATCTAGTTTTCAGTAGTGTGTTGTATTCTTGAAAATTGCCAAGAGTGTAAAGTTTTAAGCAGATTCATCTCAAGAGAGGAAGTGAGGGAATAAATATGTTAATTAGCTACACATAGCCATTCAACAAAGATTCACATACATATCTCAACTGTTACATTTAACTACATTGCTACTTATCAATTTAAATAAATAAATGAATGAATGAATAAATATACTAGACTAAAGAATCCATTGTTTCCTAAGCAATCTCTGTTCTCTAGTGGTTTGAGAAATTAATGTTGCAGTCAAATTTCTAAGAACTCTTTAACAGAGCTCTTAAGTCAGCACAGGAAAACATATTTAATGTTTATGTTTGAAGTTACTAGTGTTTTGAGTTGAGGGCTATCTTAGTCTAGCTGTATCTGAGGCTACTGGATACTGGGAAAGAGAAAAAGCTTCTAAGTCTTCTGAAGGTTTGTCTTTGCTGTCCTGGGTACACTTAGAAAGCTAATGGCCACCTTTCTTTCCACAGCCCTATCTTCACTCCAGCCCAGAGTGCATACTCTGCAGAGTTCCTGTTACCTCCTAACCTTAGCTAGCCCCTGACCCCCATGCTGTAGATAGTCCTACCCCATACTCTACACCCCACACTCTCTTTCTCATGTAATTGTTGGTTAAGTGAGGTTAAAATTATGTAAAGGTCAAGGCCAGAAGAAAATTTAAAATTCCTAATTGCAAATATCTTTGCCTGAAGCTTCTCTTTCTCTTTTTGTTAAAGTCCCCACAAACTGGCCCACTGCCCCCAGACTGCAGCAAGTGTTGCCATGGAGATTATGGCTTCCGTGGCTACCAAGGCCCCCCTGGACCTCCAGGCCCTCCTGGCATTCCAGGTAAGGATACACAGATGTATTGAAATTCCAATAACACATTGTGTCAGAAAAGGGAGCCAAAAGCAAACCTAAGTTGTGTGGGTTCACTTGCAGAGGGTATACATGGAAAATGCAAAAAGTAAGAACCTGGCAGGGGTCAGTTTAAGTGGAACTACACATGCTATAGTATTTATTCTGTATACCACTGCAAGAATCCAAAAGACTCCAGGTTTCCTGAGACTCAGAAGGGAAGCTCTGGATTGGCCCAGGACAGAACTACTCACTCATAATTGGGACCCATTCTTAGTGCCTGTACACTATCCAGTACCGTTACAGTTACAAATACCCGAGATCATAGACTGACACCCAGAAGATGCTTATTTTGGCTCACAGGTTTGGAGGTTTCGTCAATGGCTGACTGACTGTTTTGGGGCCTGTAGTGCGGCAGTGTGTCATGAAGGGGAGCATGTGATAGAGCAGAGCTCCTCAGGATAGCCAGGAAATGAAAAAGCAGAAGAGGAAGAAACCATGGTCCCTCAAGGCATGCCCCTAGTGATCTATAATCCAACTAGACCCCAGCTCTTAAAGTTTCCACCAGTACATAATAGCACCACACTAGGAAATAAGCTGTTAATACACAGACTTTGGGGAGACATGATTCTAAACCACAGCAGCCAGGCTTTCTGTCACAGTGCGCTTTACTCAGTGTGGTATCACTTCTAGGAAATCTATGAAGTCAAGGCCGGTAGAGAGGAAAGCGTGCTAGGCTTCATTCCTTTACTGAGCTGTACTTCTCTGTCATTCTAGGTGTAGGCTGGTTTTTTTCCCCAACAGTCCCACTGATTTTCATGCCTCACTTGGACTCATAGGAACAGTTTTGGGCTCTAGCATCACTTGCTGGCTCAGGGAATGCTCTAGACAAAGCTCATCAGATCTAGATTCAGGGGTTAGCACTCTGTGCTACATTGTTTGGTACTCTCAGGCTCAGGGGCATTCTGGGAGATTGGTATTGCATTGGATTGGCTGAGTGAACAGCATGTCACTCCCTCTTCACCCCAAGGTCATACCCTAACCTCTCAAGGGTTTGACTTCTTTCTATTCAGGTCAGTCCTGGGACAAGATCTCTTCTCAAAGTTTGGCCAAAGTCTACTTGTCTCCTCTAACTTACCTTTGCTGATATTAATATTGATTCATCAAAACTTAAAAAAATAAGTTAGGTAACTTCTCAAATGAAGTCAAATTTATAATGACAAATAGTAAACCTATGATTACTGGCATGAAATCTATGTCGCTGTCCATCAGAGGCAGTGACTCTCAGGGGCATGATGTGGGCAGGGAGTATTCAGACTTTTCTGGAATCTCAGGTCTGACCTCCTCTGAGGTTACAGAACAGTCTGGTGTTGGTTAAATGAATTTTGTCACTGAATACTTTGGCAAAGTTCATCCACCTGGGAGCACTGCAAGCCTGGTTTAGTGGATGTCAAAGGTAATATGTAAAATAAAAAGCAGATTCCAGAAAGTTAGCAAATATAAAAACAAGAGAGAGGTGCAGAAATGTTATCAGTGGCCAAATGAAGAACTGAAATTGCTACCTGACTCTTGATTTAAAAAAATTATTATATTCTTATTCTCCTCCTCCCAACTACAAAATCACTTCAAAGCTTTAATAAAATGCTTCAAATAGAGAGTAAAACATATGGAATAACACAAAATCACCCATGTTTCATACATTCAGGAAAAAAACTGTAAATACCTTTGCATAATTTATTCTATTTTTCCTCTATGGATATAATACATAAAGGTGTGTTGTTCCAAACTAAAATAGTATTATACTATCCTTATTTATTTATAACCTTATATCTAAAAAAATTGATGTCTCTAATCATTTAAAATATTTTTATGAACATATAATTTACTAAACTATGCCTACTAAACTGATAAAATTTAGCCCTTCTAGCACTGGTAATCATTACTGTTTTAAATGATAATGTGATGATCAGTCATCACAAGTTTTCATACAGTCCTTGCTTTATAGAAAAGAAGGTATCGGAGTCTTGGACTCTAAGACTGTTTTCAGAACCCAGTTAAAGGGGACTCATTTGCTGCCCCAGGCAGTATTCAGAGTTGTTTCAAATGGCCTTTTACAATTGAAGTTGGATATTTTTGAAGGAAAGGGTGATGCTTGTCTAAAAACACATGGTGGTTAGAATGAATAGTTTTTTCACATGATGATTTACATTTTTTTGAAGGAAATCATGGAAACAATGGAAATAATGGAGCCACTGGCCATGAAGGGGCCAAAGGTGAGAAAGGAGACAAAGGTGACCTAGGGCCTCGAGGAGAGCGGGGGCAGCATGGCCCCAAAGGAGAGAAGGGCTACCCAGGGGTTCCACCAGAACTGCAGGTAAACTACATTCTGCAACCTCTAGGGGGCTTTTAAACCTGCCTGGACATTAGGGTTCAGGGACCAGAAGGTATCAGGGCAACCAGTGTTCATTTATCTCATGAAAATTTGAGCCTAAATGTATTCATCTACATAGCTGGATGTTTGCATCAGTCCTGTGCCATCCAGAGTTTTGGACAATATCATTCTTAGCAGATACTTACTGAGAGTAAACTCCAACTCTCCCATAGGACCAAATAGAACACAACCCTGAGTATGAGCTTACAGCTTATCTTCCAGAGGAGAAAAAGGGTTAAATAAAGAGGATTTAACCAATTTGAACACAGAAACATTTAAATATATAAATAGAATGGCTAAGTGTCTGATTATATCTTATTTGTTAACTTCCCACATTTTGTATGTCAATTTTTATTTAAATATTTAATATTAGAAAGTTTTAAAAATCATCTATATGGCCATAATGCATTTATAGTTGTATGTTTTATCTTAAGTTTAATTATCCATTTATCTACTCTTTAGTACTCTTTTAAATCATCTTATAATTCTCTTTTTAAGTTTAGAATTCTTGTTGCAACATCTAAAACTTGTAAATATATAATTATGTTACCAAGAAAAATTACTCAATCTAGGCTAGATTTTTTGTTTTGTTTTGTTGCTAACATTTTAAAATTGGTTCCTCTAGGAGATGTCTATCAACATAGTAAACTAGCTTTTCTGTTTTTGTTCAGGTTATGCTGGCTAATATATCTTCCTTAAAGAGTAATTAGTGGTTATAGTAAAATATTTTCGAGAAAATCCTGTCACACGAGAGACTTTGGAATATAAAGCTGTTCTTATTTGAAAGATCAGTCAGAGGAAATTACTGTTTATTTGGGCAGATACAGTGGATGTTTACTCTTGGATAAATTGCATCATTTTTCTGGGCTTAGTTTTTCAAGTGTAAAATAAAATGTCCTATGTGTTACTATAACTGCTTTTTGTGGGTTTTGGGGTAACTTTTAAATGAGTCTGTTTAATAATTTCAGCAAGCTGGGATCCATGTGCCAGTATAAATTAACAACTGGGGTAGGAGAAGAGGCCATCTAGCCAGGCTAAGGTATTTTCTAAGATGGACTAGAGCTACATGAAATCTGGCAACACAGGATGGAATAGCCAGTTTAAAGAACACCAAAGGCAGGCAATCATTAACCGTTAACCGTTTTATCTTAACACCACAAAACAGTCATTTAGGATATCACTTTCACATATTTTGTGGAAGACAGACTTAAGAAGATTGTGAAAAGGGGGATTTAACATTCTTTGAAGACAGATAATCGCAGCAAGTTAAAAAATTATTAATCTCACTCAAATTCATTTTCCAGGGATTGTCACTGACTTTCAAACCCCTTACGAAAGTGTTTTCAAGTGAAAGCAATTCTTGATAGGTGGAATTTTCCTAAAGCTCTTTTAATTATTAAAATTATATATTTAGAACTTCGGTTTTGACTTGGAACATCAGCAATAATACCAGCAGCAGGAAAAGGAGGAAAAGGGGAAACAACAATGTCTCATTCTCCACCTAAGCCACACAGGCATTTGAGGTTCAAATGTAAGCTGACACTCAGTCTCCTCTCTTGGGACACAAATAAATTGGTCTGTTCTCAAGTTCACAGGATCCACTGGTTGGGACAACAAAAAGTCTTCTTAGATTAATTATTTTCACTGATTTTTTTAAAAATTTCTTTTTAATGGATTGAGTAGAAGCTTCCCAAGTTTCCTAAACATAAAATATAAAAAGTTACACTTGTGACCACTCACATTAATGACTTTTCTGGTCCTCCTAAGCTTTCTGCTCCAATGTCACATTTATTTTTTGAAAACTTATGCCTAGAAAATTTTACTTTTCCAATATTCAAATAGATCTCTGATTTTATTTAAACACTTTTTCTACATTCTATTTTATTTTTATTTTAAAAAATATTTTATTTTTATTTTATGTGTATGATTGTTTTACCTGTATGTATGCAAGTGTCCCACATATGTGTAATGCCCGAAGAGTCTAGATGAGGATGTCGAATCCCCTGGAACTAGAGTAATGGACAGTTGTTAGTTGCCACATGGGTACTGGGATTCAAACTCAGGCCCTCTGGAAGAACAGCAAGTGTTCTTAATCACTGAACCATCTCTCCAGCCCCATTTTCTGTATTTGAGATAATAGCAAATCAAATTTTCCTTTTGCCTTTTTCTTTATTTCTTTTTTGATTTTTTTTTCTTTTTCTTTTTGAGACGTAATCTCCCTATAGTTATAGCTGGTCTGGAATTCCCTATAGACCAGGCTGACCTTGACCTCAGATCCACCTCGTCTGCTCCTCAATGCTAAGATTAAAGGCATGCACCACCACGCCAGGCTCCCATTTGCCTTTTAAAGATAATTAATGTATTAATGATTAATATAAAGATGATTACTCTTTCATTGTAAAAAAAAGTTAACACAGCTGTGCAAAAATAAAACATGTTCAGAGACCATTGCTATTAATGTATAGTTGCATAGCTTTTAACATTGATGCTTATTATTTTAAATATATAAGAGCAAACATTATTACTCACCACTGTTTCATTAATGGCGATGTTTTCTAAACATTTCTTCATTAAAATCAATATAATTCTATAACTTCAAAATTAATGTGTTTGACAGGGTCTCCATAGCCCCAGTCCACCTGGAACTCACTATGGAGACCAGGCTGGCCTCCGTCTCACAGAGATCCACTTGCCTATGCTTCCCGAGTGCTGGGATTGAAGGTGTGTGCTACCACGCCTGGCATCATATATTATTTTTTTAAATAATTTATTATGGGGGATTGGAGAGATGGTTCAATGATTAAGAGCATTGGGTGCTCTTCCAGACAACCCAGGTTCAGTTCCTAGCATCCACATGGCAGCTAACACCCATCCCTAACTCTAGTTCCAGGGGATCTGGCCTCCACAGGCACCAGGCACATACATGGTACATTTATATGCATGCTGGCAAAACAATCATACATTAAAAATCTTTACATTTATTTATGGGAGGAGGAAAGGCATGTATATGCATGCTATATAGCATGCATGTAGTCATTATAGGAGAACTTTTTGGGAGTTGGTTCTCCCCTTCCACCCTATGAGTCCTGGGGATCAAACATACATCATCAGACATGGTGACAGACACCTTTACACATTAAACAATCTTGTCAACCCTTTGTGGATATTCTTGTAGATACTTTTCTCAGTTTGAATGTAGAACAACCCCAGTTATATAGACACACTTAAAGTCTGATATCAAGTTATAATAACCTTGTGTTGCTGACTTTTTAATTCATGCATGAAAAGACATTTTCCCAATGTTGACAAAAAGAAGACATTGTTCATTGTTATTTTCTCTGATCATTTAATATCCAAATATTCACTTAATATCTATAGTTTGAGAACTTTATTCAAATTTTCTAGTATTATTTGATAACATCATTTTAATATTTAAAAGCATATCTTAAGGACTAGTATTCTTTGAAATATATGTTCAGAACTATTAATACAGACTGTCATTCTAGAGTCTTCCTAGAATAAAATATGAAAATTACTGTAATTTATTTCTTCTTTCTCCTTTAGTTGGTATTTATATCCAAGCTTTCCATCACAAATAAATTTTCAGGAAACTTATCTGTATAAGAACTTTTTTTCTTTAAAATAAACTATGACTTGACTGCCAACTTTTTCCTTAGATTGCATTCATGGCTTCTCTGGCAACTCACTTCAGCAATCAGAACAGTGGCATTATCTTCAGCAGTGTTGAGACCAACATCGGAAACTTCTTTGATGTCATGACTGGTAGATTTGGGGCCCCTGTATCAGGTGAGTTGTAAAAATGAATGAATGAATGAATCAGACAATCAAGACAGGGAAAGGAAGGAGGAGTGGGGTAGAAGAGGGACACGATGGAAGGGAAAGGGAAGGAAAGAGAAGGTAGAGGGAGAAAGACACAGGAAGGGGAGAAGGGTAGGAAGGCAAGACAGGAGGAGGAAGACCGTTTGGTAGTCAAATTAAAGCAAGTAGCTCTCATAGCTGTTGGCTGAATTTCAGGTAAATCATTTAGAATCTGAAGAGAGAAAAACTAACAAAACGGTGACATAATTTTTAAGATTATTAACTTTAATTTGGACTGAACCAAACAACTCCTAAGAGGGCATAATCACCTCTGATTTTTAAAAGTCCCCAGAACATAATTCTCACAGTTTAACTGTGGATGGCTATGTCATCCCTATGTAGCTGATCTATTTTTTCAGATACCCCAGAGTCTCTGATCTATTTTTTTCTGTATGTATTTATGTCTTTATTTAATGGTTTCCTAGGGAACACTGGTAGTTTTGTTCTGCATGGTTACACCTGCACACACAATAGTAGTCAGCACACAGTAGGCATTCAAAACCACTTTTTGAATGCATTACTCCACTGCACATATACCTGGTTTATGAAATATAGTTTAAATTTAAATGAGAGCTTATAAATTTTGACTTACTTTTTGGCTTGCAGTTCTCAGACTGTAGCCTGAATGAGAATCACTCGAAGGGTTCATTAGCATGAAGTATGTGGAGTCTCACACACAGACCCATAGCTCAATTTCTCCCATCACCTCAGCCAATGGCAAGTCATCTTCCAATTTGTAGTTGATGCTGACTCTGTAGGCCCAGGGACTGTATCCTATTGATTTGGCAAGAAGCAGCAAAACATCAGATGGCCTACACCACCGGTTTGCCTAGTTCAACTCCCAGGAACACTACTTATTCGTCACTGAAAGAAATGCTCAGTCTTTTAAGTACTACTGATTAACTATGTCATAATGAAAATAATTATTCCACTTATGCCTCTATTTTTGCATCCATAAAATGGAAACAGTGCCAGAATTTACCTTCTTAATTTGTTAAAAAGATAAATACATTAATATTTGTTAAATGCTTGGAAGAGTGATTGGCAGGTAAGAGGCATTACATCCATATATGTTTTATGCTAATTATGCTAATGTTTTATGCTTTTAAAGAGTCATCGGTTTTTAACATTAAAATTAAGTGGATATTACACATTTAAAAAGATCAAAAGTTTGCTTATGCAAATATATTTCCTCTTCTTACATAAAAGCTAGCATACTCATTATTTGGAATATACTCGCTTTTTTTAAAGAAAGGCTTGCAATGTATTTTAAAAATATTTTCATATGATTTTTTTATAGGCTGATGTACAAAAATGTATCTAACCATTTCCTTCTTACTGGACTTTTG